TGAATTTACCTCCAGTCAGGCAGGCTCTTGTACTACATAGTTTGCTTGATCTAAAGGACATTGTACAAGTACATTGCAATGTGTGTGTGGTGAGCCATAATGAACAACAAGCCCACTGTGTGGGATTGAAGCTCAGGAAGCTAAAATCACCCTGAAAGCACCCATATGGTTCACCTTCAGAAGAATCATGTCTGATTACCTGGCAAGAGCAACATGAATTCATGAGAGAAAAGGGAACTTTTATTTTGCTTTTGTCTGTTTTATTTTTGAGCATTAAAACATTTCCTCTCTGGTGACTCCTAAAACTCAATTTTGCCCATCATACCTTACCACAAAATGGGCTGTAATATGAATGGGCCTCATGACTCCAGAAATGAGGCATTAGCTTAGGTAGTTGTAATAGCAGATCTTACAGCATTACACCATTTACATCAGGGGCGCCCACTATTTTTCGTCTGGAGATCTACTTTTCAAATGACAAGCTCATTCAGCCTTAGCCAGCTCCTTTTGCGCCTGAGGCAAGGAAAATAAACTAAGTGACAGAACGGAGCCGCTGTGACAGAACGGACGAGCAGTGAGGGGAGAGAGAGGCGTCTGCTGTCAGATCCTGGCCGAACGTCTCTCTCTCTCTCTCTCTCTCTCCTCCCTGCTCTGCATTATAGTGACAGCGGCTCCGTCCTCCCCCGCCGCCGGTTCCTTCACGTCTTCTCGGATCCCCGCTGGGGAGAGCAGCGGGGATCCAGAGAAGCGGCGGGAGATCGCGATCGACCTTGTGGGCACACCTGATTTACATCATCAACGTTGAGATTTAAACCAGACGTTGCCTGCTTAAGGTCTTCATTAGGTAGGTGTGTGCAGGCAAGTTCAAGTTCAACTGTTATTTTGTTGTTTTCCTGCCTGTTACTGGAGATCCTTTGATACAGAGAGTGAAAGAATAACTGACAGCGTTCTATTTCCAGTAATCCTTTTTGAGCGAGCTGTTTAAAAATTCAGCAGCCCCAAGGCAGACAAGCAGTGTGTTTGTAGCTGCTCACACCTGAGCGAATCCCACACATGTAATAAACATACAGTCTACTATTTCATTCCACATCAGCTCCCTCTAGAAAGGTGACTTTCCTTCCAAGGTGTGCTGCCGTCTTCTTCCCTACTGTAATTAATTGGATGAATAACATTTCTCAACTGAATGTTCATATACTCCCATGGTTTGTGTATCACTGGGTATATTTCTTAGTTTGGAGTAGGGCTGCAACAACTAATCGACATAATCGATTATAATCGATTATTGAAAAAGTTGTCAACTTTTTTAATCATCGATTAATCGGCTTCTGATTGGTTGGCCCTCTTTACGGCTCCACACACGCTGCGCGCCGCACCTGCTCCCCACCTCACGTTCGCCACTGCCAGACCCGCCCGCATCCACGCTCCACACGCCGTATCTCCTCCCCGCCTCACGTTCACCGCCCACATCCACGATCGCACAGGGACGTGGGGAGAAGTAGTAAGGAGGAGCAGGTGTGGGGGGATGACAGCCGCCGATAGACAGGTAAGCCTACACTTTCCCACACGTGGTGCTCCATAATGTATTGCTGGGATTTGTATTCCTCTATAGATGATGGTACATTGTGCTGTATATTATACATATGAATACAAATCCCAGCAATACATTATACACTGTATGTATAGTGTACTATTGCTGGGATTTGTTGTACTCTATAGCTGGTGGTATTCTGCATTGCGCTGTATAGAGGACTACAAATCCCAGCAATAATGCATTATAGAGCGCAATGCAGAATACCACCAGCTATAGAGGAGTACAACAAATCCCAGCAATAGTACATTATACAGTGGTGCAATGCCGAATAGCACTAGCTATAGAGGACTACAAAACCCAGCAATAGTACATTATACAGCGCAATGCAGAATACCCCCAGCTATAATGTACTATTGCTGGGATTTGTTGTATGCCTCTATAGCTGGTGGTATTCTGCATTGTGCTGTATAATGTATTGCTGGGTTTTGTAGTCCTCTACAGCCGGTGCCATTCTGCATTCATTGCTGTATAATTTTACACTTTTTATTTCACTATATTGCACACCACACTTTTGTTTTCTTTTTTACTTCCACCGTTCCAAGCTTGCTCCTGTGATGGAGTACACTGAATACAAACTAGTAGTCCCATCACTGGAGCCATTTTTTTAAATGTATTTTATTTTGTATCCGATTAACCGATTAATCGAACTTAATAATCGGCTAACTAATCGATTTTGAAAATAATTGTTAGCTGCAGCTCTAGTTTGGAGAGGACATGGACTGTCCACCACTATTAACGACTGCTATCTTGCAGTGCTTGGAGGGTGAGCCATGTGATCTCTTCCTCGACTGTTTAAGATAGAAAATTGGGATGCCATTAACTGCTAGTTGGGAGATATAACTCCGCAGGGATCCCCAAATGTTTTAAGAAATGTAGCCCTTGTATTACACCCATACATTGGTAGTTAATGTTGTGACGCCTTGGTTCTCAACTGGTGGGTCGTGACCCCCCCCCAAATTTTTATGCTTCATTTTAATATTTAATTCTAGAATGAATGGAGTCTCCTGTATGGAAACCACATTCAATGTTGGAATTTTTTTTGTTTTGAGAAAATAATTTCCATTATACCTTTCTTTTTTTTTTTTTTATTTGTGTCGCTACAGTCAAAAATGATTGTGGAACCTAACTATCAGAAAATCAAACGAACATTCCAAAAACATATTTTGTTTTCTAATGAAATTCTACTGGTGTATGGCCAGCTTTGGATCTGAGGGGCTGGAGGGCACTTTAGGGTGATTGTCCATGCATAGCCAGTGCTCTCTTTTGGTACCCATGTGTATTGAAAATTTACTGATCACGTACTTCTTAGTTTCTGCTCATATATGTTATATTTTTATCTTAATTTTATTTTTCTCTCACGTTCATTGAAGGACACGGGATAACAGATCGTAGATCCTGAGTAGTAGCATTATAATTCAGGATCTACGATCTGTTGCCCTGTGTACTTCAATAAACGGATAGAAAAGGATTTTACTGTCAGTACAAAAATCCTATTTTTTTTCCTTTTGACTTAAACATCTGGCGTGAATTACATCATCCAGATTATTCCAGTGTCCTCGCTGTGACCCTTTTTTGTCTGGCTGACATTGCACGCTCTACAGCTTACACACATTGCTGTTCAATCTGCGCATTGTGTATCTGTGTACGATCTGTATGTTGCACTGCATTGCCTCCATCCACTGTACCTCTCATGTGTGATCTGGAATTCTGCAGAACTTGTTCTTCAGCAGCTGGTCCCCCGTCCTCGATCCTTATACGGCCTCAAGTTAAACTAGAGCATAACATTTATTTGACACGTGCACGTCTTTGCAGGAGATCAATACATGAAAACATAAACACATCAGAAGCTGGCTGCTTCTCACTACATGTCCCAGAAGATATGCTTTGCTATTAAAGGAGAGCTCCAGAAAAGCACAGTACTGAAAAGCATTACCCATGAGGACAGGCATGTACTTGTGTCTGCATTGTATTTTTGGATGTGTGGCTTACAGCAAAGAATGGCCTCCTTACAGCACAAGGGGGGCATTTATCAAGCAAATTACCAACACAGTTGGAAGCATATCAGGCTGTTGGTGCATTTGCAACCCCTGGAGTCTCGAATCCTGGGCAGCAAATGAAGAGATTTAGCACTGAAGATGAGGGAGAAATTGTCTGTAATAAAATAAGTCAAGGCAACTGGACTTGCTGTATTTTTCTTGAAGATGTTTCACTGGACATCCGACCAGCTTTCTCAATTCAGAAGTACAGCAAGTCCAGTTGCCTTGACTTATTTTTTACAGATACAGTGGTACCTCGGGTTCATGAGCCTAATTCGTTCCGGGATTCTGGTTGTGAACCGAATCAAACTGTGATCTCGACTAGAGGAAGCCATGACCATGTGTCAGAGTAGGGAAAATGGCAGTTGTGTTCGTCACCGGAAGCGGAGTTCGTGAACGGAGGCAACATTTTGCTGAACTTCCTGTTCGCGAACAGAAGCGTTCGTGAGCTGAGGTACCACTGTATACCATGACCTGGATGAATGAAAACCTTCACAGACACGAGGGAGAAATTTGGTTTTAAATAGACATACAGTTAAAGTGAGTGTATTCTCATTTCATCCCTGGTCTGTCAAGGAAAATTCAGAGCTGTCCTGTGTCCTTAGCCTGTGGTATGTCAAGGGGTCTAATCAGCTCTGCTTCTGATGTTTTACGTAGTATTATGCAAAAAGTCATCTCGGCAAGGCTGACATGCTGCAATTTTGGTTCATTGAAGGCAGTGTATTGTTGGTCACAGGGCATTAGAAGTACATCTCTGCTCTGATCAGCAGGTATTTTTCTGTACTTGCAAGGTCATTAAAAGGGATTAAAATGGGGAACTGTGCATGTAATGCAGAGATGTGCTGCAATACCACACCACTTCTGATCGCACTGGTGGTGCCGTTCTTTTCCAATGGCACGCCAGGCGGGTCGCGTGGTTTTCCGCAGCGATTCTGCCCATGCAATTGAACACGATTGCGGCTAAAAAAAAGACTAATTTTCTGCCTTACAACTTCTTCTATTTAGCATTGTTTTGCTGTGGAACAGAATTGATAAATGTGCCACAAGGAGTTCTGTATATGCTTTAGACTACAGGAACTTTTGCAGACTCTGTGGCCTGCGAACTGAAAAAGAAATGAAAATACCTACAAAGTAAACTAAAGAATAGAGAATGTAGAGGGAGCTGTCAAAAAGATGTTGAAGTAGTGTTCTTTACAAGCAGCTATAGAAGGCAGAGATGAAAGTTTCAGTAAATGAATTATAGATTGTACCCCGGGATCACTGAGAGTGTTGGAAGTATTTCTAAGATCTGCTATTGCTGACTTGACAAAGGTCTGTATGACTGTTGAAGATTTGTGATCTGTTGTACTGAGCATTTTTTTTCTTTCTTGTAGAAAATGGCACCTATGGTGAGCACTCTGAAAATGTTCGTCTCTCAGGACTCCCAGTTGGTAAGTCTCTTGTTTTAATATCTCTACAACCAAAATAGACGCTTCCGACAAGTATGAACTGCAGAAGCTTTTAGTGCCTCTAACCTACCTGAATGCTGGGGTATTCTGATTGGCAGATCTTCCGTACATCCTGGTAGTGTTGAAGCTTGCCTATTCTCTCCTACTTGCCACATGTTCCTATTCTACAGCAGCTCTTTATAAGGAAGGGCCGACAGCATTGTGTTGGGGAATGAAGAGGTGGACAAACTATGACACTCGGGTCGTTTCAGCACCCGTTCAGAACTACATAATATGAAAGCAGGAGCTGGTTAAAGTGACACTAAACTCCCGAGTTAAATCTTAAAAATGCGTTCAAGTGATGGACTACAATCTCGCCACAAATTAGTAAACTAAACATGAGATTGTAGTCCATCATGGGAGCGAGCTTGGAGCTGTGGCTTCTTTACAACACACACAGGGACCATGGGGAACAAAAGTAGCCCCCCTCCAGAAGGAAGGACAGTGTCAGCACCAATTCAGAGATTATTTGAGGATCAGCCAAGCGATACATAAATAGGATACATTTTTGTTAAGGTATTCAAATGTATTTTTAAGATTTAACGCCTGGGTTTGGTGTCACTTTAAATCACGAAGTATACCCGGTTAAGGCCTTGTTCAAGGTGTTACACCTAACATGCTTTTATAGGAAACCTTTTCTGAGAGGAACAAGGAGACGCCAGTTGCTGACTCATTCTGCGACAGTTATCTGGCTGCCATGCAGATCCTGTTGCTTCAGTACTTTAAATTGTTGTCTCAGGACAAGAATTCTGATATGGACTTCTGACTCTCCTGATCTCCATACTTTTTTTGAAAAGTAATTTTTATTCAGTTTTTTGCAGAGAACATACATTAACAACAGTCACCTACAGCAGTAGGGGTACAACTTAGTCTTAACATCCCACACCCCCACCCTCCATCCCCACATAACAAAACCCCCCCAATCCCCCTCCCCACAACCTTGTGCCAAGTCGTGCCCCAGGACCAAGTATACCACCAGAGCCAGATATTTCAGAATGCCTTAGTGCCAAAAAAGAAAACAAAATGGTGTATCTCCAATCCCCCACAACAGGGGAGGCTGAGTGCCCGGATAAACACAATGAGTCTAACAGTCTCCCGTAATTATCTTAAAAGACAGGATTTCTCGATCGGAGGCAGCGGAGCTTCACCCGACACGTGCGCTCACTCTCACATCGCGGCCACGCCCCTGATCTCCATACTTGACCCGGCTAATTGACTCAAAGCCCTGAAATCAATGCATTAGCAGAGCAGCTAAGGAACTAACATTTATAAAAGAGGATCAGCAGTGTAAACCCCCATATTTCTCTCAGATAAGGTTTACTTTTAGAAAGGTAAGCACTTACTCCACCATACCTGGTGCAAATGGATACACAATGGTTCTTCACAAACTCCACATATTATGCAGTCTTTCTCACAGATTACCACTCGCAGATTACCACTGAATTCCTCCATCAGTTAAAAGCTCCTCTTTATCAGAGCAGTAAGGGCATCCTGCCCCTCTACGCTGGCATGCTACAAGCCTCCGTTTCAACCATGGCAGCCCGTAATGTACACAAGCACTTCTGAGCTTCTGTTCCAGCAGTGCCGGCTTCTCAAACACTATCGGAGCTCCATCATCAACTCCTAAATGAAATATAGGAAACCCTTCTAGTGCAATATTTCTAAAAATAATCTAAAATAATGGTTTACTTATAATTTTAGAACTGTGTACATTGTAACAGAGACACCATCCCATACGATGATGGTCTGCACGAGGCCGACACTCGTCAGCGGTGGATAATGGGTTAAAGCAGGGCTGGACAAATCCTGGGATTCAGGTAGTCCGAACTTTAAAAATTACAGCTGGTGCCCAACTTTTTAGCTTTTCTCTAGTTGTTGTCAATGGAGCTGGCTCCTTAAAAAAAAATCCTGGATGGGAAAGACTGGCTCCTGAATTTCATATGGATTGTCCACCCCTGGACTAAAACTTTGAGCCACTTAGGAATTTAGGAAGCTGGACAATGTTTCTACTAAAAATGCTCATACATTATGTAAATTCGTTCGCTTCTTCAGGAAATTCACACAGTGGGTGTAGCTGTTGGCAACTTTTTGGCTGGCATCCCTCGATCAGTTGATCAAAAGAGCCGGTCGGCAAATCTTAAAACAAAGCCGGCAGCCACTGTCGGAATACAAAGCAAACATCGGGGGTCCTGCAATCAACATGCCTGAGCGTTGACGGAGGGATCTGTTTTTATTTTTTTCATTCAGCCCGCAGGTTAAACAAAAAAATAGAAAAGCTCCTCTTTTCAAAGAGTTTTTTTTCTTCATCTTGGAGGGGGGGAGGTACCAAGCAACTACAGTGGCTAGCAAAAGTATTTACCCCCTTGGCATTTTTCCTATTTTGTTGCATTACCACCTAGAATTAAAATTGATTTTTTTTTGTGGGGTTGTATAATTTGGTTTACACAACATGTCTACCAGTTTGTATCACAATAAAAAATATTTTGCATCTTCAAACAAAAAAGAAAGGCAAAACAAAACCTTGCGTGTGCATAACTATTTCACCCCCCTCCCAAAGTCAATACTTTGTAGAGCCGCCTGTTGCAGCAATTACAGCTGTGAGTTGCTTGGGGTACATCTCTATAAGCTTGGCACATCTAGCCACTGGGATTTTTTGCCCATTCTTCAAGGCAAAACTGCTCCAGCTCCTTCAAGTTGGATGGGTTTCACTGGTGTACAGCAATTTTGAAGTCATGTCACAGATGCTCAATTGGATTGAGGGCTGGGCACTGACTAGGCCATTCCAAAACATTTAAATATTTCCCCTTAAACCGTTCAAGTGTTGCTTTAGCAGTATGCTTAGACTCATCCTGCTGGAAGGTGAACCTCCGTCCCAATGTCAAATCTCTGCAGACTGAAACAGGTGTCTCAAGAATTTCCCTGTATTTTTAGCGCCATCCATCATTCCTTCAATTCTAACCAGTTTGCCGGTCCCTGCCAATAAAAAAACACCCCCATAGCATGATGCTGCCACCACCATGCTTCACTGTGGGGACCGTGTTCTCCGGGTGATGAGGTCTTGGGTTTGTGCTAGGACATAACGTTTTCCTTGAACGCTAATAAGCTCCATTTTAGTCTCATCTGACCAGACTACCTTCTTCCATATGTTTGGGAAGTCTACAACATGCCTTTTGGCAAAACGCAAAAAGAATACTTTTGCAAGCCACTGTCATTTAAACCTTCCTAATGTTACCCTTGGCTTGGCTGCAAAGAAACATTGAGTCAGGAGGTGGCAAAGGAGCATGGATGGTGAGCATAACTTGCTGGCATGGTGGGCTAAGGGAAGATGACGTCACTTTGCTATTAATGGCCAAAGTGACATTGTCTCTTAAGATCGGATGCAGACTGCTGCCTTAGTCCACAACTGAATCCCTTATTGCATACACATTATGCAGTCCGTGTGTAAAAGACAGAGATAGATCTGTAAGCGTGGTGCCAGCCCCCTGCCCCAGAAAAATGACAATGATGTAAGCTGTCTCTACACATTTGGCTGTGGAGCCTCCTGCTGCATGCAATGCGGGAAATTAAGCAGCCGAACTCTGAAAATATTCCGAATAGATTAAAGTGACATCTGCCTGCCTCTGAGCAGATTTCACTTAGCTAAATCGTCTGCCTAATTTCCTTCCTACGTAAGCCTTGCATTAGTTGGCTGATGGGAAGACAGTCGCGTTCAGCGATTCCATGAAATGAAAATTGTTCCCGGGTTCTGTGGAATGGAAGTGTGGAGGGAAGATGGTTACTTGGTTACTAATTCAAGTCTGACTAACTTTTTCTTTATCCATTATAAACAATCCGTCACATGGGAAAAAAAGTTCCCCCAACTGACTCATACTTTTGGGCTTTTTAACATCTTAAAGGGAACGAAAGAAATGTTTGCGAAGACATTGTTGATCCCCTTATGGGAAAAAAAATTGTTCTCTGGTTGTAATATTCACCCACTGGCTTTGATGCTTTTCAGCCACTGACCTGAAACAGACACGCAGATTAGGCATTCTGGCATTACGCTTACTACTTTGATTGTATGCTTGTGAGATGTTTCTGACAGAGACTGGCAACTAGCATGTTCAGAAGATCTGGAGTTGCAGACTACATATTAATCTTGTCCCTCAAAGCCCAACTCCGGGCACAAGACCAAAAAACCCTTGCAATAAGGCACCCGCACTGCAAGTGTTACCTGCTCATTAAGTCTAGGGGAGCAGAGATACGGAGTAATACTTGCCTTACTCCTCGCTCCTCTCCATCCGTGCGAGAGCTCCTGTGAAGTCTTTTCTGGCTGTAGTCACGCACTCGCCTCCTCCACATACACTGCAATGTTATTTGCACTGCATTGTATTTGATGATGTTGACGAACCACCTGGAGCACCAGGGAGAAAAGGAGGGTGCCAGAGCCAGCCAGTGCAGAGCATCGGGTAAATAACCTCTTCTTCTACCCCCTAGAACAGAGGTGGGCAAATTCTGGCCCTCTAGTTGTGGTGAATGTACAAATCCCATCATGCACCGGGCTCTGGGAGGCATTCCTGTGGCTGTGAGAATATTGCAATGTCTCATGTGACTTGTAGTTGCACAACAGCTGGAAGGTTGGAGTTTGCCCACCCCTACCTTAGACCTAACAAACATTAAACTCTCTTGTGAAAATGAGTTATACATACATGGACTTCCATAACTAATGTCTCCTAGCAATGTTCGTTGCCTAGCTTTTATATTGACTCAACAGCTACCATACATCCAAAGTCGTTGACCAAAAACAAGTGCCCAGATTAGGAGCCCTGACTTCGCTGGCTGTATTATTCCTCTGGCTCAGTGACCCTTCAGCGAACAAACTGCCTCCTGCTACAGCTATGAACTTCAAATTTTGACTCATCAGTCCAGAGCACCAACCCTAAAAACCCCATGGCCCCGATGTGGAAACAAGGCTAAGGGACTCAAGTATGCACGAAAATGTACAAACTAGGGTGCAAAAAAAATGTCAGCAGGTGCTCTGGATTGATGAGTCAAAATGTGAAATATTTGGCTGTAGCAGGAGGTAGTTTGTTTGCAGAAGGGCTGGAGAGCGGTACAATAATGAGTGTCTGCAGCAACAGGGAAGCATGGTGGAGGTTCCTCCAAGTCTGGGGCTGCATTTCTGCCAATGGAGTTGGAGATTTGGTCAGGATCAATGGTGTCCTCAATGCTGAGAAATACAAGCAGATACTTATCCATCATGCCCATACCATCAGGGAGGTGTGTGATTGGCCCCAAATGTATTCTGCAGCAGAACAACGACCCCCAACATACAGCCAATGTCATTAAGAACTATCTTCAGCATGAAGAAGAACAAGCAGTCCTGGAAGTGATGGTTTGGCCCCCACAGAGCCCTGATCTCAACATCGAGTCTGTGTGGGATTACATAAAGAGACAGAAGAATTTGAGGCAGCCGACATCCACAGAAGATCCATGCTTAGTTCTCTAAGATGTTCAGAACAATCTACCTGCCGAATTCCTTCAAAAACTGTGTGCAAGTGTACCTAGAAGAAGGCAAAGGGTAGTCACACCAAATATTGATTTGATTTGGATTTCTCTTTTGTTCATTTATGTTAATTGATCGAAAATAAACTATTAACCCTTTTTATTTATTTCTGAAAGCATTCTTACTTGACAGCATTTTTTTCACACCTGGCTAAAACTTGTTATATATTATATTAAATTAATGTAATATAATCTGTTGTTGCTGTTTTGGCTTCAAGGCAGTTTACATTCACGAGGTGTCATGGTGCCACCTGCTGGTGATAAAAGTTGTATACTCTAGTTCAGAGGTGGGCAATTATTTTTCCTTACGGGGCCACATAAAGTGGGACTGCTGTGGAGGGCCAACACATTGCTGTGAAGGTATGTAGGCACATACTCGCATATGTAAATTGATCCCAAAAAATGATGGGGGGGCAACTAATGTAGGAGTACTTCAATGGATGCAACTAATAATTAGCTGTCCCCATCGGAGGGCCCCCTTACATTGATCCCATCAGTGTACTCCCCACCTTCATAATTAAAGAAGGACTATGAGACGAGTGATTTTCACTCATCCTCATAGTTTGAGCCGACGTGTGACCAATGAAACTGTCACATGTCGGCTCAATAGATCGAGAAGTGAGCTAACACATACTGTCGCTCGCTTACTTCTTGATCATGTCCCTGCAGAGAGCTGTGATTGTCACTCACGGCTCCCTGCAGGGATTCCCCTCCCCGCTCTGATCCTCCAGCGCTGACTGGCGGAACGGACAGGGGGAGGGGGCATGTACAGCTGGCTCTGCCTCTAGATAGGCAGAGCCAGCTGTCAATCACGGAGCTGGGTGGAGCTCGACAGTTATGTTGGGATCTGTCAAGGCTGCGGCGGTCTCAGTGTACCGCGAGCTGTAGCTCTCTATATACTGAGCATTGGGTCACGGGAGGACGCTAGTTTATGTCCTCCTGTGACCCTCAGGAGAACTATGGGGAAAAGCCCTGACCCCATAGTTCTCCTTTAATGTAAGAGGGCACTCTAATGTAAGTGGACACTCCAATGAGGACCACTAATAATTAGTTGTTCATATCAGCATGTCCCCTTAAAGTGATTGTCCCCCATCAGAGTGCCCGCTTATTATTGTAGTTAATGTAAGGGGCCACTCTGATGGGGACAACCAGCGTAGGGGAGCACCCTGATGGGGACAACTAATTATTGTCCCAATTAGAGTTCCCCCTTACATTGCCCCCCCATAAAGTGCCACTTCATACTGTCCACACATACCTTATTTTCCTACTTTCAAGGCTGATGCATCCACTGTCGGCCAGCCATAACCGAGCACAGGTCTGCAATTGGTCTGTGTCCGGACTGCGGGCTAGACAGAGACAGCCAAAGGGTCAGATATGGCCCACGGGCCATAAACTGCCCTGGTCTGCTCTAGCTAGAAGCAGGGACTCTTAGCAGAATGACCAGACGTTTGTTTGGGAAGACTTGTCTGGATGGAGTGCAGCCTGCACATACCCTGAGGGTGTCCTGGAGGACAGAGTTTTGGGTCATTGCCCTCTCTCCTCCAGGTCCTTGACGCACACAAGCATGTTTGCAAGGCCCACCCTTGAGTTGGAGGGGGGGGGCTTTTTTTACTTAATGTTTTACCATTTGTCTGGAGCCAGAGAAGGACCAACACATAACACAGGACTGCACAATCAACTCAAACATTTCCTGATCACAATCTAACCCCCCACTACCACATTCGCCACCTCCCGCTTATGTAGCTCATTCTATTCCCATAGCTTGTCACATTTGTATTCATTGTTGCTTGCTTATCAAAGATAATCATTACCCATGCTAGCAGGCTCTTTAAAAAATAATCAGTGATGAATAAATAATGGTTACATAAGTGTGCTTGACATGTAGTTAAAGAAAATCTATTTTGTTTGCTATAGCTGTCCTATCTTTTTTTTCTGCAGCACGGTAAGATAACTGGGAACTGTTATGATAAAGTGTATCGAAGCCCAGGAGCAAAAATATAACCTATTGCAGTTTATCATCTGTAGATGTGGTGGCTGCATTAGCCTTTTTTTTTTTTTTTTTTTTTTTTTTTTTTTTTTTGGTGTTTTTTTTTTTTTTTTTTTTTTTTTTTTAATGTACAACAATCCAAAGTTAACGCAAATCCAAATTAAATAATCCAAAATGGCAAAGTTAAGAATAGGGTGATCAGGGCAATCAGGGGTGCCGTACCTT